AATTTCTGATTTCTTCTGCACACAAAGGAGAGACGAGCAGGGGCGTCTGGACAGCACGCGGGGCCTCGTCTGTGGGCTGGGCGCTGGCGTGGCCGAGGCCGTGGTGGTGGTCTGCCCCATGGAGACCATAAAGGTGGGTGGGAGGCAGCCACCAGCGTCCCCCAGTCCCGGCACCCCTCCCCTCGCTGGGATGGCGGAGGGGGGTGGGAGCCAGGGATGCCTGGGTTTTGGGGACCGGAGGGCCACGTGGGGTTGCTTGGGGTGGTTTTGTAGGGGAGGACCTGATGCTGGAAAGCCCCATGAAGCCTGATGCTGGTCAGGCCCAGCAGCCATGGCCCCTTTCCTGCTCCAAGGAGGAGTCCCTCACCCGGGAACCATGCTGTCACCCATTTTAGTACTGACAAACCCAGACGGTCGCTTGCAGAGGCAGTTTCCCAGGTTTTCCTCTGCAAAATGCATCGCTGGCCGTAGGCACAGGCTTCCTCCATGGTCTCACCCAGCATTGCTTGGCCGTGTGCATCGGCTCAGCTCTCGGGACTGTCCCCGGAGCAAGGCGAGAGGCCTCCGGCAGCCTTTCAGGGATGCACCCCCCTCGCCTCGGCCAGGACAAGTGCGTCATCTCCCCACAGGTGAAGTTTATCCATGACCAGTGCTCCCCCAAGCCCAAATACCGCGGCTTCTTCCACGGCGTCCGGGAGATCGTTCGGGAACAGGGTGAGTCCTGCGGAAGTGATGTCCTGTCTCGGTCCGCTGCCCCCACGCTGTGGGGATGGGGTGGGAGGTGGGCGATGGGTGCAGGCTGGGACCGGCTGCCTGGGGAGGCTTTTCTGTGCCTGGGTGAGGCTGGTGCTCCGCTCCCACCCCTTCTCCTGTTGCAGGACTAAAGGGGACCTACCAGGGCTTAACTGCCACTGTTCTCAAGCAAGGATCGAACCAGGCCATCCGCTTCTTCGTCATGACCTCCCTCAAGAACTGGTATAAAGGTACGGTGTCCCCGTGCCCCCAGGGCACCTCACTGCTGCCGCTCCCCGAGCCCATCCTTGGGAGCCAGGATTGGGCTTTCCACCAGCGCGTCCTCCGCTTCTCGTGACTTGGCCTCTCACAAGGGTGGAAGGTGAAAGCCAGGGCGAGAGGGCCCCAGCTTGCGGGACTGAAGTGTCCCAGTGCTGGAGCATCACCTCCACTCCCACCCTGAGCTCCCCAGTGCTGCGTGGGCTCTATGGGGCTGGTGCTGCTGGATGGTCCCCTCCAAATGCCCTGGGCCCTGAACTCAGCACAGCACCAGCCCTGACCATGAGCAGCCAGACCTTCCCCATGGGTTCCCTTGGGGATGCCATGCTTCATCCCCCCACCACCACTCTTCCCTCAACCTCTGCTCCTTCCCAGGGGACGATCCCAACAAGGTCATCAACCCCTTCGTCACAGGGGTGTTTGGAGCCCTCGCCGGGGCGGCGAGTGTCTTTGGCAACACCCCCTTGGACGTAGTGAAGACCAGGATGCAGGTACAGCACCGGGGCAGGGTGCGGGACCACTCTGCCTGCCGCAGGCGAGGGTCGCCTGCTGTTTGGGAGCCGTTCCGTGCCCCCCCCGGGGCCGGGGCCCG